TCCAAGCACCTATACCGGCCGAGCCGCTCCAACCACCTATTTACCGAGCCACTCCAAGCACCTACCGTCCGAGCCACTCCACGCACGTACCAGCCAAGCCACACCAAGCACCTAGCCACCGAGCCACCCCAAGCACCCACCCATCGAGCCATTCCAACCACCTACACACCGAGTCATTCCAAGCACCTACCCATCGAGTCACTCCAAGCACCTACGCAAACAGCCACTCCAAGCACCTACCCACTGAGCCACTCCAAGCACCTACCCAATGAGCCACTCCAAGCACCTTCCCACTGAGCCAATCCAAACACCTACGTCCCGAGCCACTCCAAGCTCCTACCCACCCCGCCACTCCAAGCACCTACTGACCCAACGAGTCCTAGCACCTACCGACCGAGCAACTCCAACCCACCGAGCCACTCCAAGGACCTATCGACCAAGCCAATCCATACATCTACCGATTGAGCCACTACAAGCACCTACCGACCGAGCCGCTCCAACCACCTACAGACTGAGCCACTCCAAGGACCTACCGACCGAGCCACTCCAAGCACCTAACCCGTTAGCCACTCCAAGCACAGATACCAACAGAGCCACTCCAAGCACCTACCGACGGAGCCACTCCAAGGACCTATACTGAGCGATCCACTCCAAGCACCTACCCACCGAACCACTCCAACAACCTATGCACTGAGCCACTCCAAGCACCTCCCCACAAAGCCACTCCAAGCACCTACCCACAAGGCCACTCCACGCACCTATACTGATCGAGCCACTCCAACACCTATACCAACCAAACCACTTCAAGCACCTGTCCTTACCGAGGCACTCCAAGCAGCTACCCTCCGAGCCATTCCCAGCACCTACCTACCGAGCCACTCCAATCACCTACCGCCCGAGCCACTCCAAGCACCTACCGACCGAGCCACTCCAAGCACCTATCGACCAAGCAACTCCAAGCACCTATTGACCGAGCCACTCCAAGCACCCTAAGCGACTCCAAGCACCTATCGACCGAGGCACTCCAAGCACCTACCGACCTTGCCACTCCAAGCACCTAGACACCGAGCTACTCCAAGCACCTACACAACGAGCCACTCCAAGCACCTACCCACCGAGGCACTCCAACCACCTGCCGACCTTGCCACTCCAAGCACCTACACACCGAGCCACTCAAAGCACCTACACAACGAGCCACTCCAAGCACCTACCCACCAAGCCACTCCAAGCACCTATCGAATGAACCACTCCAACCACCTACCGATGGAGCCACTCCAGGCACCTACCGACCAAGCCACTCCAAGAACCTCTACCCACCGAGGCACTCCAAACACCTACTAACCGGGCCACTACAAACACCTTCCCATCGAG